TGAACATAATGGTAAATAAAATAGTATCAAAAAATTAAACGAAAATTGTTTCCAGAAAAAGTTTTAAATAATTCGAGTTCATTAATTTCAAGTTTTCGTCTCTAGTTATATCGTAAGAGGTGTCTCGTAAATTTATCGTGCAATTCTACATGCATTACATCATTTATTTACATTTCCTTAAGACAATAAGATAAGACAATTTAAAGTTATTGCACTTAATCTTATTTTCCCATTTTTCGATTAACATTGAAAATCATTGTAATGTCGTCACAATAATTTTCATGAATGGATAATTAAATAAATATTGTTTAATCCTTTAGAGTAATACTGACGAATGCCGAATAGTTGTGAAAAATTCTTTCCGTCCGCATTATCACTGAGAGATCTCTTAAGTTACCATTAAGCAATTACGTGAAAGTTCAATTACTATAATCATCTGTTTCACTCAGTTTTATCGTTAGTCGATAAATTGACACTTTTCATTGTGATAAGGACAATAACTTTTACTAATGTACACATAAATGTTAATTTCACACATATTCTAGTCACGTCTGAGACTAAAGTTGTATTGGTTAGCTCTTCCGGTAATCCATAACACTCCCTTTTGTTTGGATTGTTTTATTTCCTATTCCAATTTTTTGAATCGTAAAATTTTTTCTTCACTTCCGTTCCTTAGGTAGTATTGTTTGGTTTTAGTTCAACAAGGAAAAATCGTCTGCTAAATCGCTCTGTCGAATAAGCATAGAGTGGCGAGAAGAGGGCTTTCTTTTTTTTTCGTGTTCCATATGATTACGGCTGTATGAAGTGGCGAATAAATTTATTTTGTATTGTGATTGAGTTTTGTTGACTTTCCTGAAGTATTTCTTTTCGTAGGGCTTAAAAGTACAAGCATCTAGACGACAAAAAAAACTGCAAATGAAGAATAATAAAAGTAAGTCATGCATTCTGTATTTCTGCAGGAAAAAAGCATGAGAATGTTTTTATTAGGTTTCAATGTGCCTTAAATTTTATATAATTTCAAAAAGGTCGGATTTTTAAAGTTCATGAAGTGTTAAGAGAACTTATTTCTTACCAGTAAAGAATGAAGTAAATTTAATGTATTATATGAACTGTTCAATGCATGATTTAAACTCCAATAGTTATGTGTGGTTCAATGCATAATTTATATGTACGTTATAAAATTTAGTTGCTTTTGTTCTAATGCTTTAACTCATTTAAAATACAGCGTGCATTTTTAAAAAAAATTTGAGATTTTAAAGTTTTAATTAAATGTATTTAAATGAATCGAAATAATTTTGTAAATGTGTTTTTGGTAGTAAAATAACATGCATAAATTAGAAATAAATTAATGAAGTACTAAGGATATAAGTAAATATAGAGTAACTAATTAATGTAATAATTAGGAAATTAAAATTTAAAAGCTTATGTTATATTCCGCGACTACCTGTTAATCATTATAATTTTTATTTTATTTTAACTTTATTTACTTTTTTTCATTAGTGGGTTTTCTAAGGTTCGCCAAATGATCAACCATTTGAAAAAAGTGATTTTTTTTTCCAACTCTGAAAGTGCTCTATTTTATAACTCTATATTTCAACTGTTCCGAAACGGTGTTCCGCGGAACCCTAAGGTTCCACGGAAGAGTTAAAGGGGTTCCAAGAGTTAATATTTTTTTAATCAGTGATGAATTTTGAAACCTCCGATTATATTTAGAGCCAACTTGTAATTCATAGTTTATTTAATTTTTCTGTTGCATTTATAGCTCCACTATAATTGCTCCACTGTTAACTATTTCAAGTAAAATGCCAATTAAATAGAAATTACATTTTTTAAAAAGAAAATATAATATTTCTAATTACAATATATTAAACAAATTATGAAAGGAAGAACCATTAATAAAATATTGCATTAGTATTTCATTTTACGCTTTACAAATAAGAATAAAATAACTATATTCCTTTATAAAGAAATATGTTTCCCTAATAACCCTTTTAAAGATATAAAGCAAGTGCCTTTAAGTTTTCATTTCAAAATAAACAATAATTCGGCTTATTTTATTCATTTTCAGCTTATGTATGTATTACAAAGACAAATTCATTACTAGACTAGATACAGCACAAAGACTGTCGGACATTAAACCAAATTAAAGATTATTAATGATTAAAAGCTGAAAAATTTTCTCTCCTCTAATTAAATATTTAAAAAACAATCTCTTGTAGGTTATAACATTCACAGTTGCCTCAATGAACTTTTTATAAAAGTCGAGTTTCTGCCTTAAGGTTGATTGTTTAGGATTACATAGCATAAGAAAAATTGGGAAATGCTGCAATATTTCATAAAAAAATAGTAATTATCTTACTATGTTGTGTATTTCTTAGAACACGAAATATGATATCCTCAATAAGCGTTTAAAAATTGACGTAAATCAAGCAAAACCAATTTTTTTTTTTAAAAACTTAAAAAAAAGAAATCAGTGTTATAATTCAAATATTACTAATAGCGGAATTTTAACATTTTAAAGTAGTTTAAAAAATTTAAACACCGAAATATCATAAGCCATTCCACTGATATAGTGAAGACTTTGTTTTTATCTCTGTTCATATAATATTTTTATCTTCCGTCATGTTTTTTTTAAACAATAAAAAGAACCGGGAAAATTAAAATCAAATATTAGATTGAATTTTAAACCAATTCTATTAGAATGGTTCTTGAATATTGTTAAAAGATATTGTCCAATACTACAAGTGCTTTTCTAAATTATCAGTTCACTTTTGCATGTTTCTTAGGCTTAGCAATTTTAAAAACTTCATGTACAGGATTTTTCAGATCTTAGGTTCTAAAATTTCTGATAAAATTATTTATGTAAACTATACCTATACAATACAGTCTAAAAAAAAGCCTGTTTAATAGGTTTTACGATAATAGTTTACAGTAAAAGAGCTGTACTTAATTAATGCGGATAAATGGTTTGATCAGTAAGTAACTTGAATCTTAATTTTTTTTAAATACATTTGACGAATTTTATGCATATGCCATTTGATACAAATAATTCTTCCCCAAATAAGTATTAAAAAATTTAAGTTTTTCTTTTTGAAATCTTAAAAACTATTATTAAGTATTAAAAAAATAATTATTTATTCGACAAAACTCGCTAAATTCATAAGCAATAAGACAAAGCCTGAGCTTAGTGGCATCAAATTAAGCCATGTGACTAACAATAACTAGTTTGAAGATGTTAAAATTTGTAATAAAAACAAACATTTAACTTAATAATTCTAATAAACAAATAAAACTCGAGCAAAAATATATTAAAATACAATCTATATTAAAAACACATTTATGGAAATAATTTTACTAAGCTGCATTAATGCACTGTCAGGACCTTTTATTTTTCTCGTAGTTTTAATGTTCTCTTTGGTGCTTTCAAATATCACGTCTTGTTAATTAGTCAAACCGTACGAAATCGTACGTTTGATTCGAAGTTTTTTTTTCTTTCTTTTTATCAGTGTTTTTTTTTTTTTTTTTTTTTTTTTTTTTTTTTTTTTTTTTTTTTTTTTACCGTTGAATGATTTGGTATTTTTAAAAATTCTGCAAGTTAGAAAAAAAGACAAAAAATCCGTTTCAATTTACGTGATAACCTATTTAACTAACTCCTTTACTTTGAATCAAAAAATTTAAATTAATTTAAAAGGCATTCTAAAACATCTTTTGAAAAAGGTCATACGCATGAAACTCAAATATTATTTATTTTGGAACAGAGTTACACTTAAAATCAATACTAAAATTTACGTCTCATTCCTCTTTAGCTCCATTTTATTACGTAAGCGTTTGACAGACTAACACTTGATTAACTTAGAGTTTTATGTGCTAAAATGTATTTTTTGGTTATTTTATAAGATAACACGGCGAAAAGAGTTCTGGTAAAATTATTGTTCTGTATGACAGTGACATTTATGGCAGCAACAAAAAAAAAAAAAAATTCTGGTTAATAAAACCAAAATATAAGGTATTTCTGCCATTCCTTTGGTAATTTCTCCGTTCATATGGTAACGATTAACCAGAAATTCTAATTTTCTAAATTGTAGTTTTTATTACCTCACAAATTCAAAACTGAAAATTAATTTAACCGAATAAGTAGCTTTTATACCATGCTCTACGGTATCATGATAAAATTACTAAATTTCATCTCATAGTTTAAAACTATATTTCATTGTTAATTTTACCACAATCATTACCAAATTGTTTCGATAAAAATTAATTAACTTTTTGGTGTTCCCATAGAACCAGTAACATGATAAATTTTACCATATTCTGGTTATTTTCACTAAGTTATTTTCTTCCGAATATGATTTGATTTTAATACTTACTTTCATGGACGTTTCTAACCTTCATTTTTTCTTAGGGGGAGCGAAATGAAATTACACAATTACGGAATAGTTAAATTATATGTCAAGTTTTTTTTTGCTTTGCTGAATTTTAATTGATCATGATTCATAAAAATTTTACTTAATTTACCTAATAATGTACTCACACCCCTTTCAATTAACGACACTTTTGTTTATTTTAATTTGTCCTCCGAAAAACAATCTGAAAAAAAAATCACATATAAGTTTTAATATTTTTTCCGTGAAAAACTTAATTCTGTAAAAACTTTCATTATTAAATGATAATTTAATTTATCTGATGATCTTTTTTTACATGCTATAAAATTCTAAATAAATCTCAATAAAAAAACATTTTTGAAGCACTTAAAATTGTCATAAATTCTATGTTTTATTATTTATCATCGTCTAAAATCTCAGACTAAATAAAAATTTCTCTTATTTTCACCTTTTAAAACAGGCACGAGACCTTCTTTTCTAAATGTTAATGATAGAGCCGTCAATTCACGTGCGCATAAAACAAATAAATACTGTGACAGCGCCATCTGCCGAACTGACGGTCAAACATTATCTGGGAGCGAGTGGAGGGATCAGAGAGCATAGCCTTTCTCCTCTTCATTCGTGAATTTAGTCTCCATCAGAGTGGAGGATTCGATCATTGGGTTATGAAAAGCGGTCAGTGTTTACTCTGTGATCGGTTTACGAATTTTAACGTCACTTTTGGAGTTATGTACCTTTCCTCCTGAACTATCTTTTGGATTTAGTGATATTATTCTACGCAAGTGCTCCTGTAAATTGTTTTTGTCGCCATGTATTCTTCGCGGCGATCTGGATTGTTGTACGAATATCCGACACGCGTCGAAGGATGGTTAAATACTGTCGGTAAGTTTTTATATTTTTTAGATATTTCGTATATAATTTAACTCATGCGAATATACATGGGCAAAATAATTTGAAGAACGCATATATTTTATTGCTAATGCAAATTTAACTAATGATCTACATAGATGTATATACACTTGAATAATAAGGAAATAAAAAGAGCCAGAGATGATATATCAAAAGGAATGAGAGAGTAGGACCCCGAATTTCTAGAAGTACTTTAAATTTGGCAAATAATGTTTTTTTTTTTTTCCTTCTTAAGAATTTTTTATTAGAACTAATATTAAAGAAATTAAATAAGTATTAGTCTAAATTAATTTAACAAATTAATGAATGAATATATAAATTTTGAACGATTTACAACATGATTATCTTTTGTTTTAAATCATTCAAAACCATTTTGTATGTAAACAAGATGTACATTTAGTTTAAAAATAGGACCAGAGGGGTCCCCCACAGTTCTGTGATTACAGCCCCATATTTCTTTGATCCTGAAAAGAATTTATAATTAGACTTTCCGTTATCATTTTGCTTTGCAAACTTAACAAATAACTTTTCAAACAACATAACTTAGTAAATTGTGCTTTACTCCTTGAAAAGATTTTGCAGACACAGCCTTTTGTTATTTTTTCGACTAATCGTTTATCATATTTGAGTTGATAAAATATTCATTCACACATAATCTGAGACTTAAAATAATCAGCTTTTGAATTTATTATGTTTTATTCACATCTCCGCATGCGGGAGATAAGGGACGATCCCATGCGGTTTTCGTAAGTTGTTTTGCCGGCTTACCTGTTTTTTTCCTCTTCCATTTGTTTTTCGCTGAAGATCTTAGGCTTAGTGAATGCTTACCTTTCAATTTGACAGAGATGTTGCAGGATTTCCCCTTGACCAGAGAACTGCGTTTTTTTCTTCTTCTTAATTTATTTTGTTTCTGTTCTTTTATTCAATTCAATGACAGCTTTTTTTAAAGCAGTTTAACTTAAATTGGTCAATGAGTCGAGATAATAGATTAAGTAAGCAATCTGCACAAGGACGGGTCTCAGCTTATATTTATTCATTTCATCATTAAAATTCCACTATTGTTATTGTACGTTGAATATAGGTTAAATAATATTTGTACATTTGGTGTTTATAAAGAGATAGATTTTTGTTGTTTTAATAAAATAATTTCCTTAAAAGTATTTAACTTTTTTTTAAATTTATAAATTTTAAGACTTATAAAATAAGATAAATTGTATTCACTGCCGTCAAAAAAGTACGTATTCACATTTTGTATGTTTCCAAACGTCATAGTACAAAATATATAATATAAACAATTTTGTTCTGCTATAATTCTTATTTTTATTACTATCGGAATTTATAAATTGTTAACTTTGAATCTCATAATAGCATCGTTATTTTTTAAAATAAATTTAGGATAAAGTTTTCTGTGTTACCTCTGAAAGAAATTATCAGCAATAATGCATAAACATAACCTCTGTGAATATAAAATACAATGATAAGAGTACTGTGTGAAAATAATAATTTAATTATCTTCATAATTATTTAATACTAATAAACTTTTCAACTTTTGCATGATTAGCATAAAATATCTCATTTTCATTGTTAGTTTAACACATTAAAAATTGCTTGATTAGTTTTAAACTTGATAGTTTTTTTAATTTAAAACATTCATTAAATTACTTGTCTCTAAAACATCATGCTTTCTAAGTAAAATTTTTTTCTCAATATTACGAATTATTCTTTGAACATTATACTGTAGAACATTATTCTACTAAATACAAATGCGTTATTTTGTCTATATTTTATGGTACAATTATATCCATACTATAGTAATAAAAAAATTATAAAAATATGGTGTTATACACATTGTTAGAGTTTTTTTCAACAGTATTAAAAACAGTGGGAAATTTTATTAAGCTATTAAACACAAAGAAAACTGAAAATTATTGCCGTATGAATGCAATGGCTTAATACGATTTTAAGAGCTATTTCGCAATTAAAATTTAAATCGAAAGAACTAAGTAAACTAAGATACTCATTCAGAAAACAAGAAAAGAGAATTAGTAATACTAATTCAAAATTTCATTCCCGAAAATATTAAATTTTATGTAACTATAGCAATGCTTTCTAGCATGGAATGATTAGCATAGAACTTCTTGTCTATATTGATATTTTTCCTTTTTTTTCTCTTCAAATGTACAAATTTGTTACGAAATTTGCAAATTATTTAATGTATACTGAAGTGATACATTTAAAAAAAATTCTGATAAAATCTGTATTTTTAAAACAAATAGATGCGAACCTAGTAAAAAACACGAAGGTTTTTTTCCCCACGTTATAATTATATACCTATTTGCAAGAAACATTCATGACTGACAAGTATTCTTTTCTGTTGGCTTCATTTTTTCTTAACATATTAAAGTAATGCACTAATATATTGAAAATAGTTGAACTATTACTACTTAAAAACAATGTAAGCAAAACTGCTCTAGAATTAGATGATTTTGTTCTTACACATAGTCGAATATATTGAAAAAAAAAAAGGAAACTTTTTTCTTCATTCGATAAAATTCTTTTTCCAATTTCAAAGAGACGGACAATCGCGCTGATTGCCCAAAAATTACATCACTATAATCGGGGTTGGCTAGCTATAGTCTAAACTTAAGCTTTAATGTGCGAATCCACTACTCAAACGGGCCCAGCTGCTTCATAGTTCTTTTTTCAACTGCAATTAATGTTTCTAGCATTAATGCAGTCTGTTCCGCAGATGGCTATTCTTTAAACACAGGTGAATCTAGATAATAGGAAATATGCAGACCTATCGTAATTATAGTTTAAGTTATGAAATGATTTTTAAAAATATCATATTTTTAAAAGTTTATAATATAAATTTTTTTATTAATATTTTTGCTACTATTCTTAAAAGAAGTTAAACAAAAATTTTAAAAATATTTAAATGTTGTAAGTAAAATTATGATTTCTAAATTTGCTTTTGATATTTAACATTTTGATAAAAATAGATTAATTCACTTCATAGTGTTAAATTTTTTGCCGATAAAGCAGTATCTAGTTTATGAAGTTATCTGAAAGGCTTGGTAATAAGGTGACATTTTAAAAATCAAGTTAATTTTCTTGCTAAGCATACGGTATAGTTAGCTGTAAACATTTTAACAATAATTTTTTGTTGTGTATTAAAATAACAATTCTTCAGGGCATTATAGCCCATGGTGGGTTCTGGCCTTCTCGAGAAATCTTTTCTAGTTGTCTCTCCGTTTGGCGACTGTACTCCGATTTTTGGTCTTCAGAATGTTCAGGTCTTTTTCTAGACAGACGATTGATCTAAGGCGAGGTCTAACTTAGTCTATTTTGGGTAGGTTTGGCTAGAAATAGTTCTAGACAGTTTCAATCTTCCTACGAGATGTCTAGCTCATTTTATCCTTCGGATTTTTAAGAATTTCCCGACACCTAGCCTTTCTAAAAATTTTATAAAATTTTAATTTTTACCTCAGTTCCACCACAAATACTTCTTAGTACTTTACTTTCGAAAATTGTCAACACCTCCTCCGCACTCGAGGTTAATGCCCATGTCTATGATGCATATAATAAAATAGATCTAATAAGTGTTATAAATGAAAGAAATTTAGTTTTTAATTTAAGAAAACTGAAACTTTTTGAGACTTTAAAAACATCTGTTTGCATCTGAAATTTGTTGATGTAGTTCTGAGATTAGATCATTTTTGTTTAATTCTGCTCCGAAATAACTGAAACAATCATAAAGTGTTTTACTTTTAGCTTTCTGACGTTACTATATATTCTAAAGCTGATTTTCTGAAAATTTACTAAAATTGCACTAATTATTTTCCTTCACTTAGTTCTTCCATTAATAACATATCTGAAATTATGATACAAATATTAAATTCTTGTACTAAATTGATCACAATCTTTTTTCTCATTTAAATTAGACCTCAATGTATTTGTATATTTTTCATTTCATTTTTGGATCGAATCTCATCATATCTTATCTATACGAAATCCATTTAACATATTTCTCATCGTGTTTTATCTTCTGTCAGATTAGTGTGACGTATCTCTAAGAGAGTAGAAACGCATTCAATATTTGTTTTGTAGAAATCTTAGCAATGTAGGCTTTTACCTTCATTTCGTATGGCAATGACTATTTATATAAAAGACTTTGCACGAAGAAAATTTTTCAATAGCGTTTATTAACGTGTGAAGAATGTATGAGAAAATATTTGTTCTCAATATATATTAAGATGCATTAAATCATTTATTTAATTATAAAGTTTTTACTTTCAAAAATAATTCAACTCTGATTTAATCTGACAACCCGTCCAGTGAGGTGAACTGGGTTCGAATCCCGGCAATGGCTGGTCGATACGAATTCCGCATCCGGCTTGCACCAACCACAGTGCTGACGTAAGATATCCTCAGTGGTACACGGATCATGGGTTAGAGTCCCCTTGCCATTAGGCTAACCGTGGGAGGTTTTCGTGTCTTCCCTTTCAATGTAACTGAAATGCGGGTTAGTACCATCAAAATATCCTCCACGAAGGCAAATTGTTAGATCTACATCTTTTTTTATAAATGATTTTTTTTAAAGTCAATTTACCTAGTTTTACCCCAACTATGAAAATTTAGCAGTTATTTCTATTTTATATGACAATTTAAGAAAATTATGCATATAATTTCCACGTGATGTAATATAGTTAACTTCTTACTCCCCTGCATTGCAGTTTTCATGGCCTCAGCATAGGCTCTCATACTCCCAGAGCAGAGTTTATCAAAATGTAACAGAGCAGTGGTATTATTGGGCTAAATCCTTATTGGTTTCTAAGGTATCAATCTTTAGCGAATGTCTAATAAGCTGGACTAAAAATAATTTTTGTAACTGTGTTGATTGATAGGTAAGGACTAGTTTAAAAGCAAAAGAACATTAGAAGAGTTGGCAAAGTATAACAAGATTATCTAAA